AAAAGGACTATTGCAATAGAAAGAATGTTCCAATTACGAGATCTGAAAATGTCCAAGAGACACAAACTAACAAGCATTTTTTTTTTCATATATGGAGGAGTAAACAAGGCTAGAAAGCACAAGCACAAGTTACAGGGCTGTGGATGAGCATTTGGTATGACTACAGTTATTCAGGGAAATGTTATGTTATGTTATGTTATGTTATGTTATGTTATGTTATGTTATGTATTTATTGGAGAGAGTCTTGCTCTGTCCAACTCTGGGTGAGTGCAGTGGCATCATCTCTGTTCACTGCAACTTTTCATCTACCAGGCTCAGGCAGTCCTCCCACCTCAATCTCCCCAGTAGCTGAGACTACAGGCACACGTCACCAGGCCTAGTTAATTTTTGTACTTTTTGTAGAGATGGGGTTTTGCTATGTTGCTCAGGCTAGCCTTGAACTCCTGAACTCGAGGGATCCCCCCACACCTTGGCCTCCCAAAGTGCTGGGATTACAGGCGTGAGCCACTGTGCCCGGTCTATTTATTTTTTGAGAGAGCATCCTGCTGTGTTGCCCAGGCTAGAGTGCAGTGTCAAGACCATAGCTCACTGCAGCCTTCAACTCTGGAATCAAGTGATCCTCCTACCTCAGCCTCCCAAGTAGCTGGGACTATGGATTTGCACCACCACATTTTACTAATTTTTTTACTTTTTGCAGAGGTGGATTCTCACTGTGTTGCCCAGGCAGGTCTTGAACTTCTAGCCTCAACTGATCCTCCTGCCTCGACCTCCCCAAGTGTTGGGATTACAGGTGTGAGCCTGGCTCATCATGGAGTTCAAGACCAGTTTGGGCAACATAGCAAGACTCCCATCTCTACAGAAAATTTTTAAAAATTAGCTGGGCATGGTGGCACATACCTATAGTCCCATCTACTCAGGAAGATTGCTTGAGCGCAGGAGTTTGAGGCTGCAGTGAACTATGATCCCGACACTGCACTCCAGTCTGGGCAACAGAGTGAGAACCTGTCTCTCTTTCCAAAAAAAAAAAAAAAAAAAAAGCCTACTCATAGGAGGGGTGTTGTTAAGGAAAAGTTGTTCCAAATTACACTGACAAATAATGGTTCAGAGGGTTGGGCATGGTGGCTCATGCCTGCAATCCCTGCACTTTGGGAGGCCGAGGCGAGCGGACATGAGGTCAGGAGTCTGAGACCAGGCTGGCCAACATGGCCAAACCGCGTCTCTACTAAAAATACAAAAATTAGCCGGGCGTAGTGGTGCAGGCCTGTAATCCCAGCTACTTAGGAAGCTGAGGTAGGAGAATTGCTTGAAGCAGGGAGGCAGAGGCTGCAGTGAGCCGAGATTGTGCCACTGCACTCCAGCTTGGTTGACAGAACAAGACTCTGTCTCAAATAAATAAATAATAATAAATAAATAAGGCTGGGTGCGGTAGCTCGAACCTGTAATCCCAGCACTTTGGGAGGTTGAGGCGGGCGGATCACATGAGGTCAAGAGATCGAGACCATCCTGGTCAACATGGTGAAACCCTGTCTCTACTAAAAATACAAAAATTAGCTGGGCGTGGTGGCACACTCCTGTAGTCCCAGCTATTCGGAAGGCTGAGGCAGGAGAATTACTTGAAACCAGGAGGCAGAGGTTGCAGTGAGCCGAGATCGTGCCACTGCACTCCAGCCTGGCAACAGAGTGAGACTCCATCCCATGAATGAATGAATTAATGAATAGTGAATTAGTAATCAAAACCCTCAAAAAAGAACAGTTTGTAGCTGTACATGGTGGCTCACACCTGCAATCCCAGCACTTTGGGAGACCGAGGCAGGCAGATCCCTCGAGCTCACAAGTTTGAGACCAGCGTGGTCTACATGGTGAAACGCTGTCTCTACAAAAAATACAGAAATTAGCCAAGTGTGGTGGTGCGCATCTCTAGTCCCAGCTACTCGGGAAGCTGGGGTGGGAGGATCACTTGAGCCCAGGAAGTTAAGGCTACAGTAAGCCAAGATTGCACCACTGCACTCTACTGGGCAAGAGACCAAGAGTCTGTCTCCAAAAAAAGAAAAAAAAAGACCATTTAAAAAGTTCTGGAGTTTGTGTAGGTTTTGGAGAAACTCCTGCTGAGCCATACCCTCTGCACTAGAGAAGGAAATGTTACACTAAAACACACAAATCAATAGACATTCCCTGACACAACAGTTCCACGTATCGCAAATTTAAAACTATGAGTACTAAGGTGTCATCAACAAAACTGCTGATTAAATAAAAAGCCAAGTTCGTTTATAATACATGGAAATGTACAAGACAAAAGTAGCAGTGCTGGAGTGACCTCAGTAAGGTGGTTGACTACAGAAGCCTAGTAAAACTCATAAAAAATAACAAAGCAATTTTACTAAAGTTGAAAATAAACCTTGGAATATAAACAAATACTTCAGTGTTTGGCATTATCACTGTCAATACTGAAACTAAACCTTAAAAGGAGTTCATTGCAGTTCCTATAAAGTGGTCACAAGTTAAAATTCCTAACAACGTTATCAGGGTGAATATATAATTTCTACTTTATCTACCAAAACAAAACAAAATTCACATTGTGTATGTTAATTTTTAAAAGGAAGGTCATAAACAATAATTACTTTTTTCAAATTATGACACTGTACACTCTAAGGACAAAAAAACACAGTGCTATTTTTATCCTTATCCCCCACATTTAAAACATTTTAGGGTATTTTCTTTTTTTTTTTTTTTTTTTTTTTTGAGACAGAATCTTGCTCTGTCGCCCAGGTTGGAGTGCAGTGGCACGATCTTGGCTCACTGCAAGCTCCACCTCCCAGGTTCATGACATTCTCCTGCCTCAGCCTCCAGAGTAGCTGGGACTACAGGCGCCTGCCACCAAGCCCGGCTAATTTTTTTGTATTTTTAATAGAGATGGGGTTTCACTGTGTTAGCCAGGATGGTCTCGACCTCCTGACCTCGTGATCCATCCACCTCGGCCTCCCAAAGTGCTGGGATTACAGGCTTGAGCCACCGCGCCCAGCCCATTTTAGGGTATTTTCCGTTTTGGTTCTCCTTGGGTCTGAGACGACGTATCGCTCTGTCGCCCAGGCTGGAGTGCAGTGGTCGGATCTCAGCTCACTGTAAGCTCCGCCTCCCGGGTTCACGCCATTCTCCTGCCTCAGCCTCCTGAGTAGCTGGGACTACAGGCACCCGCCACCTCGCCCGGCTAGTTTGTGTTTTTTTTAGTAGAGACGGGGTTTCACCGTGTTAGCCAGGATGGTCTCGATCTCCTGTCCTCGTGATCCACCCATCTCGGCCTCTCAAAGTGCTGGGATTACATCCATGTTCTTACTATATTTGTACTTTCCCTTCATGTAAATCAAGGTGTACTCCTTGGGTCTTATCTGACACACAAGAGGCATGTAGAAAAATAATCATATGGTGCAATAGTCACCAAGAGTGATACAGCTGGCCAGGGACGGTGGCTCACGCCTGTAATCCCAGCACTTCAAGAGGCTAAGGCAGGCAGATAACCTGAGGTAAGGAGTTTGAGACCAGCCTGGCCAATATGGTGAACCGTTGTCTCTACTAAAAATACACAAATTAGCCAGGCATAGTGGCGTGCGCCTGTAATCCCAGCTACTCGGGAGGCTGAGGCAGGAGAATTGCTTGAACCCAAGAGGCGGAGCTTGCAGTGAGCTATTGTGCCACTGTACTCCAGCCTGGGCGACAGAGCAAGACTCCGTCTCAAAAAATAAAATAAAAAAAAAAAACAGAGTGATACAGCTTTCATGGTGTAAAATAACTTTCTTGGGATTTTCATTATATTCACATAAGTATCCTGAGGCAGGGCATGTGGAGAACAACTCAGGTGCACTCTATGTGTATGTTCCCAACATTCTATTTAATTCCAAGAAAAAAAAAATGGTTCTACTTTCAGCCTTAAGAGTCTAATGGTGTGTTGTTATCGTCTGTTACAAGTATAACCTACTAAGGTGGGATAAAACTATGTTGGTAGAAAGAACATGATGCATTCATAGTTATGCAAAAATTAGATTTTATTAATTAGCTCATGAGATCTATGATACATTCTGAATAAAATGGTAGCAAAATGTAATAACAGCAGTAAATGTGAATCCTAATTAGTAACATGGTATTGTGGTTTATCTTTGAGGTTGTGGTTTCTATCGTGGTTTCAATCTTGGCTGTACAACAGCGATGGCCATTCCATGCAGAAGGTAGCCACCATTTTCCCCTGAATTATTTCCACCATGGAACCAGTTACTTATAACCCATTACGCTCCTCCCACAAATCAAAATGTCTAAGGTCTTGGCTGGCTCTTATTTTTTTTGAGACGCAATGTCTCTCAGTCACTTAGGCTGGAGTGCAGTGGTGTAATCTCAGCTCACTGCCACCTCCGCCTCCCGGGTTCAAGAGAGTCTCCTGCCTCAGTCTCCCAAGTAGCTGGGATTACAGGCACCCACCACCACGCCCAGTTAATTTTTGTAGTTTTAGTAGAGACGGGGTTTCACCATCTTGGCCAGGCTGGTCTTGAACTCCTGACCCCATGATCCACCCGCCTCAGCCACCCAAAGTGCTGGGATTACAGGTGTGAGCCACTGCGCCCGGTCATGGTCTGCTCTGTTTCATGGTCAGTTTGTAGGTCATCTCTTCCCTGTAACCCAAAGTGCCCTCTGTCAGGAGAACATCTTGAACACAATAAGGATGATGATCAATATCATTTTGCATTATTCTCTGCCTGCCCCCATGCTTGGTAATTTGCCAAGGCAGAGTCCTTATTCTTCAAAGAATTTGAATAGAAATGATCCTCATCTAATGCAGTGAGCCCTTCCATCTTACTGATTCTTTCCCAGACATCGCCATGAAAGGCAGGTAAGGAGGCATATCAACAGATTTCAAGGTTTAGGTTGAAAGTCATAAATCCTAAAATATAAAGTAGTAGCCTTGCAGGACACATAAAATAAATAAATAAAATATTGTAAAATCTGAAGATAACCAGTGACTTCAAACATCCTGCAACCTTTAATATGTCTCATGTTGTGTATGAGTTTTAACACATTTGAACTTGCAGTTGTTCTACAATATATATGAAAAGTTTATCAGCACTAGACTGAATTATTCCTCACATAAATCCTTGGATGTCTGACAGTTTTGATCCTTGGTTAATAGCTTCAACATGCACAAAATATACAAAGATGTATATACATTTTGATATCTAGTGAGTTGTGAGACCTAAATGAAGCCTCTGTCACATACTTAGGTTTATATGATTTCTCTTTAGCATGGACTCTGACATCAATGAATGCTTGAACTCGTGATGAAGGGTTTGCCATACTTGTAAGGATTCTCTCGAGAATGAAATTCTCTGATGCTGTGTAAGAGTTCATCGTGACTGAAAACCTTGCCACATTTATTATATTTGTATAGTTTCTCTCTGGTATAAATTCTTTGATGACTCACAAGATTTAAACTTTGACTGAAGACCTTGCCATACTAATTTCTTTTATAAGGTTTCTCCTTAGTATGGATAATTTGATGTCTAAAGAGGTTTGGGCGCACGCTAAAGGACTTCCCACAATCACTACATTTGTAAGGTTTCTTTCCAGTATGGATTATCTGATGTCTAGTGAGGTTTGGGCGCACACTAAAGGATCTACCACATTCATTACATTTGTAAGGTTTTTCTCCAGTATGGATGACCTGATGGGTAGTTAGGCTTGAATGCACACTGAAGGCTTTGCCACACTCATTACATTTGTAAGGTTTCTCTCCAGTATGGATGACCTGATGGGTAGTTAAGTTCGAATGCACACTAAAGGCTTTGCCACATTCATTACACTTGTAAGGTTTCTCTCCAGTATGAACTCTCTGATGACTCGCAAGGTGTGAATTATAACTGAAAACCTTTCCACATTCATTGCATTTGTAAGGTTTCTCTCCAGTATGAATTCTCCAATGCCTTGCAAGGCTTGAAGTTTGACTGAAGACTTTACCACATTCATTACACTTGTATGGTTTCTCCCCAGTGTGAATTCTCTGATGAGTTGCAAGGCTTGAAGTCTGACTGAATACCTTGCCACATTCATTGCATTTGTAAGGTTTCTCGCCACTATGAATTACCTGATGGTTGCTAAGTGTTGACCTCACACTAAAGGCTTTGCCACACTCATTACACTTGTAAGGTTTCTCTCCAATGTGAATCTTCTGATGTAGTGCAAGGCATGAATTGCGACTGAAGACCTTGTCACATTCATAACATTTGTAAGGTTTCTCTCCAGTATGAACTCTCCGATGCAGTGCAAGGCATGAGTTGCGACTGAAACTTCTGTCACATTCATTACATTTGTATGGTTTCTCTCCAGTGTGAACTCTCCGATGACGCGCAAGGTTTGATTTTTGACTAAAGACCTTGCCACATAGATCACATTTATATCGTTTCTCTCCAGAATGACTTACCTGATGTACAATCACGTGGGAGCCATGATTCAAGGCTTCGTCGCACTCATTGTATCTGTAAGGTTTTTCCCTGATGCATGATTTCTGTTCTTGTGTGAGTAATGAAGAACAGATGAAATCAGTCCCATATTTATTAGAAATATGGGTTTTGAAGGTAGAAGAAATTATTTGGGGTGCTGAGACTGAGGAACCATGGGTGACAGACTTCTCAACATGGTTACATTCATACATTTTCCCTTCAGCTTGAAATTGCTTCTGTTTAGGGGGATGTGGTAGAAAGCTTAATCCAAGCTGATTTTTAATAGACTTGTTTTCTATACCACTTCTATCATGTTGGTCTCTTCTACAAGTAAGATTTTCTTTTGCGGCCATAGTCGCTTTGTTGTAATTTCTTTCATTATCTCTCCACTGAGAGTCAAAGTCATGTATTTTTTTCTTCATTTCCCTGAAGCAAAACTCTTCAATGTCATGTTTTTCATGTTGTTCCAATGTCACTGTGTGGAATACTTCTTCTCTGTTACTTTCCCGTTGCGGTGCTAATTCCTTGATCATACAGTTACGAGAGAGATCTATAAGAAATAAAAAACCATAGGTTTCCAATTAGAGACAGTATATAAATATTTTATACTGAATAACAGAATTACACAAAAAGCAGTATTTATACACAACAGAGTTATAAAACTTCCCAATCAAGATCTTTAATTTTTAGGAACACAAAGGAATCACATTCTTTAGTGCAAAAAGGGTGATTATATGTAATTCAAATGAATTCTAGGGAAGGACAGTTTCAAACATCCTATGACCAAAACACATTGTTCAAACCTATGTTAGCCCTGAAAGGAGTATTTTTTCACCTTGACAACAAAGTACACACCAACTGGCAGAAAATACATGGCTGTCTCATTATTGAAAGGAAATAAATATTACATTTTACCTAGCTACAGCATATTTACTGTGCCCATATACATGAAAAAAGTACTACACAATATACCATAATGGTAACTGAGCCGCAACAAACTTATGGAATAAGGTACATAAATGATAATTCTGAATTGCAAAACAGTAATAGCACTGACAAAATGAGAAAAAAATTAATAAAACATTGTTAAAAATAGCTAATTTTTCTGAATATCTGTTATGAAACTATCTGTACCCACCCAGACCAGGCATTTTTGACATTAATGGGTGATGCATGTCAGTTATATTGCATTAAACTTACTAAAAACCCATCATCTGTAAATCATAACAATCAATTAATAAAACACTGTAGTAACCCATGATAAAACCAGCAAACCAAAAACTAGTAACTACACTTGTACAAAGTTATAGCCTGTAAATGATTCTCCCCTAAGAAAAAAACAAGGACTATTTCAGAACCAGCACACGACCTGTGAACTGGAATATATGTTAAGCTGTCTGACATTTGATGCGTAAGGTCAGGTAAATACACAGCACTATAAAGAAGAAGTGAAGAACAAAGTCAGAAATCACAATTATGACTTCACACCTGCACTTATATAACACACAGCCAGTCAATAAAACAATTCCCTACATATGCATTGTCCTTTCGTGACCTAGTTCATCGACCACAAAATACACATAACAGAGTTTGTACTTGGAAAATTTATTAACTGAAATCGGAGAACACAATGTTTAGAACGGACTGAAAAATAAAAACAAACAAAATAGAATGCAGTCTCTACGGTCTGAATATGTTGGCCAAAATTCATACGCTAAGGTCCTATTCCCTAGTGTGATGTTGTTGCAGATGGGGCATTTGGGATATAGTTAGGTCATGAGGTTGGACTACTCAAAAATAGGATTAATGTCCTTACAGGACGAGATGTAAGAGCTCGTTTTATCTTGCCCTTTCCATCATGTGGGACAGTCAGAAGATGGCTGGGGTAAACCAGGCAGCGGGCCTGCACCAGGAACTGATTCACCTGGCTCCTTAATTTTTACTTCCCAGCCTCCAGGTCTGGGAGATACAAATTTCTGTGGTTTAGTTCTCCTAGCCTATGGTGTTTCTTTTTTTTTTTTTTTTGAGACGGAATTTCGCTCTTGTCGCCCAGGCTGGAGTGCAGTGGGGCAATCTTGGCTAACTGAAACCTCCGCCACCTGGGTTCAAGTGATTGTCCTGCCTCAGTCTCCCAAGTAGCTGGGATTACAGGCGCCCACCACCATGCCTGGCTGATTTTTGTATTTTTAGTAGAGATGGGGTTTCACCATGTTGGCCAGGCTTGTCTCGAACTCCTGACCTCAGGTGATCTGCCCATTTCAGCCTTCCAAAGTGCTGGGATTTCGGGTGTGAGCCACCGTGCCTGGCCCGCCTGTGATATTTCTTATGGCACGATGAGTTATATAAGACAGAAAAAGGACAATCTCATCACAATCATCAGAGAAGGTTGATCAATCTTATTAAACAAAGAAACTTTGGGACTTTACTTGTGCAATATTCCAAGTAATCACACACCACCACCTTGTTTTAAAAACTTTCAGGTAAATTGTTATTATTTTTCAAATAAAGACATTAGGCCCACGGTACTCATGTATCTAATCTCAATTTTTACAGAAAATAAGAGAGAAAAACAGGACTAAATCCTGGGCTAGGAGGCTCAGACTTTTTTTTTTTTTTTCCTTTTTGAGACAGAGTCTCACTCTGTCGCCCAGGCTGGAGTGTGGTGGCGTGATCTCGGCTCACTGCAACCACTGCCTCCCAGGTTCAAGCAATTCTCCTGCCTCAGCCTCCTGAGTAGCTGGGATTACAGGCACCTGCCACCATGCCTGGCTAATTTTTAAAAAATTTTTAGTAGAGAAGGGGTTTAACCATGTTGGCCAGGCTGGTTTCAAACTCCTGACCTCAAGTGATCCGACCACCCTGGACTCCCAAAGTGCTGGGATTACAGGCGTAAGCCACTGCGCCAGGCCACCAGACATGTTTTCAAGCACATGTCCAACCAGGCAGTACGGAAAACCTGGGTGGATATGTGCAGTGTTGAAAACTATCAGTCACGGCAAGAATGCACCCAGGCAAGGAGCACATGAAGAAAAGGAGATACAAGAGCTGGACTGTGTTGGTAATAGTGTTATTCAGTCAGCTCTCATGGAAGGCAGCTATGCTCACCACTATACCACCAACACATCTAGTCACTCAGCTCTCATGGATAATGCTATGTGAGTCATCACTTCCTACACATACTGATTTAGGCAGATCCTGACTTACAAAGCGGTTGAGTAGCGTCTAGTCTTGCATACTGTGAGTAGTGTGGAGGGTGAAGAAGTCCTGTGGAAATTGGGGTGTTCAGGAATACAAAATCAATATGCTAAAAAGCAACAGTATATTCCATGCAGATCAAGATATCATGTGAGGATAGGAGAAAGGGCAAGAGCACAGGGGAGGGAAGAATGGGCATGTAGGAGGAAAATTTGTGCATGCACGTCTGTGGGATATAATTCCACTAGGACAGTTACAATTCTGACCTTGGGGCCAGGTGCAGTGGCTCACGCCTGTAATCCCCGCACTTTGGGAGGCAGAGGTGGGTGGATCACCTGAGGTCGGGAGTTCAAGACCAGCCTGACCAACATGAAGAAACTCTGTCTCTACTAAAAATACAAAATTAGCCAGGTGTGGTGGTGCATGCCTACAATCCCAGCTACTCAGAAGGCTGAGGCAGGAGCATCATTTGAACCTGGGAGGCGGAAGTTGCGGTGAGCTGAGATTGTGCCATTGTACTCCAGCCTGGGTGACAAGAGCGAAACTCCATCTCCAAAAAAAAAAAAAAAAGTATCTCAAAAAATACAGAGTTTATGACTAAATGAAAAAGGTGTTCATTTATACCACATGTAAATGTACAAGATGAAAGTAGTAGTGGCTTAAACAAATGACACTGGACTTTAAAAACCAAGGCATTACAGCGGTTTGAAACAAAAAAAGAACAAATGAGAAGAAACCAAGGCACCACTCAGCTTCACAAGCTCCCTCCACAAGATGTGATGTGTCAACGCTGTATTTGTTGTGGGTTTGAACCTACAACAAATTGAACCCAGGCTGAACAAAGGTTTGTTGATGAGCATGAACAATGGAGCACACAGGATGGAAAATGAACAAATACGGCATGAACAATAGTTTAGTCAAGAGTCTCACACATATGATGCTGTGAACTTGGACAATGTCATCGCTAGGAGAACATCCCACACCGACTGCTGGCTTAGGGGAGATGATCATTAGTTTATGTGTCCAGCACTGTCACAGTGCCCTTCAGATACACTTTTGTGAGGCTCCTCAAAACTCAAAGGACAGCTGGAAACACGTGTCAATCAGGCTCGCCTGATATTTTGTATCTCATATCCTGGGCCATGCTGACAGTACTGCTCAGCGCTTTAAGGGGCATCTCTACATGTAGCAGGAGGCTATTCAATTATATTAGTCAAAGAGTTTTCCCTCACAAATTTCCTGTTACCACATAAACACCCTCCATAAGAGACTCCAGGAGAAGGTATGTATAACCTATAGGTTGGTTATCATAGCAGGAATACAGACAAATGACAGACCCTAGGGGTGTGTATATCAAAAGCCGGGTTTTGTTTTTTGTTTCTTGAAATGGAGTCTCGCTGTGTTACCCAGGCTGTAGTGCAGTGGTGCCGTCTCAGCTAACCTCTGCCTCATGGGGTCATGCGATTCTCCTGCCTTGGCCTCCTGAGTAGCTGGGCTTACAGGCGCACGCCACCACACCTGGCTAATTTTTGTATTTTTAGTAGAGACGGGGTTTCACTATGTTGGCCAAGTTGGTCTTGAACTCCTGATCTCAGGTGATCCACCTGCCTTGGCTTCCCAGAGTGCTGGGATTACAAGGCATGAGCCACCATGCCCAGCTATGCCCGGCTAATTTTTGTATTTTAGTAGAGATGGGGTTTCACCACATTGGTCAGTCTGATCTTATCCGCCCACCTCGGCCTCCCAGAGAGCTAGAATTACAGGCGTGAGCCACCGCACCTGACCAAAAGTCGGTTTTCAGAGGAAAAATCATGCAAACTTAAGAGAAAACAAAATCAGGAAGAGCCAAGGTTTTTCTACATTCATATAGTAGTGAGACCAATGGAAAAGAGAGAAAAATACAACATATGAAACTGGATTTTGAAAGATCTTGAGGTGGGATTGTCTGCTCTGCCTATAGATGGATCCTAAGCTAAGAGCCTGAAAGACTAAGATATACTCCCTGTGTAGGACGGGGGATCCCAGTGAAGACCTGTCAACTGTTCTTACAGTTCTGCTGAGTAACAGTCTCAGAAGATCCAACCCCCTCCCCTGGTTCACACACCCATGAACTGTGGCAAAAGCAGAAGAGAAGAAATGGCTGAGGGATCACAACAGGCACAAAGGGCTTGAGACAACTCATTGCAGCTCCCGAGGCCTCAGATGCAAAGGAGGAGCAGCCAGTGTTTCCCATCTCCTGCGCAGGTCTTCCAAACACCGGAAATGAGGTGGAGCATAGATAGCTCCAGGTATCAGGACCGTGGAGGCCTCAGCTCTGATCTATATGGAAAGCAAACTGAGCATCAGGTGGGCATCAAGAACAGGAGAGACCAGCAGGGCGCCGTAGCTCACGCCTGTAATCCCAGCACTCCGGGAGGCCAAGGTGGGCGGATCACCTGAGGTCGGGAGTTTGAGACCAGCCTGACCAACATGGTGAAACCCCATCTCTACTAAAAATACAAAATCAGCCAGGTGTGGTGGTGCACGCCTATTATCCCAGCTACTCGGGAGGCTGAGGCAGGAGAATCATTTGAATCCGGGAGGCGGTGGTTGTGGTGAGTTTAGATTGCGCCATTACACTCCAGCGTGGGCAACAAGAGCGAAACTCCGTCTCAAAAAAAAAGAACAAGAGAGACCAAGGGAGAAGCAGACCCTGTGATATGGCCCCTCCTGAACCCCTCAGAGTGAAGGAGCCAGAGAGTTCACAGAAGTCAGAGGTCAATGTTGTCTGTCATGATAAGTACTTCCATTTGTCTCTGAGCTGCAGCCCCCACTGGACAGCGAAAGGATCATCTATGACACATCTCAAGGGCAGAGGCAGAAGTAGGGGAAGTTTAAAATTTCCTCTAAGAGCTCACAGGATATAAACATTTGTTTTCCTATAGAACTCTCCCACTGACTGAGAGTTTCCAAACATAATTTAATGGTGTGGCTTCTTCTCCCCCCATCTGAGGTCTTACCTATTTTCACACCTTTGATCCATTCCCACCCTTTTGGTTTTCTTGCTATTTGCACTTGGCTTTCCATGGTCCAGGGCTCTTTCCTGTGCTCCCGCATGAGATAATATTCTGGTCAAGAAGAGAATTTCCTGCTTATAAAATGAATGGAACATGATGTGCTGTGGCTTTTCAAGAATCTCAGCCCTGGCCGGGCGCGGTGGCTCAAGCCTGTAATCCCAGCACTTTGGGAGGCCGAGACGGGCAGATCACGAGGTCAGGAGATTGAGACCATCTTGGCTAACACGGTGAAACCCCGTCCCTACTAAAAAATACAAAAAACTAGCCGGGCGAGGTGGTGGGCGCCTGTAGTCCCAGCTACTCGGGAGGCTGAGGCAGGAGAATGGCGTGAACCCGGGAGGCGGAGCTTGCAGTGAGCCGAGATCCGGCCACTGTACTCCAGCCTGGGCGACAGAGTGAGACTCCGTCTCAAAAAAAAAAAAAAAAAAAAAAAGAATCTCGGCCCTTTGCTTGGATGAGAAGAGAGAATATCACAGATGGATCTAGGAAAATATTTCACAAATTCTTTCACTGAATGCCTACTCTGAATGCTTAGGGATGACTGTAATATGCAAATATCTAGCTCCCCTCCAAGAACTACTGAATCAAAGTAGAGGGGTAGAAAACAAGAAGTGAGTATTTCAAAAGTCTACTGTAAACTTTCATGGATACTTCAGCTCTGGAACCACCACTGTTGTATCAGGAAGGGGTCAGAACATCTGGAAAAAGGGGATGGTTAAACTCCAGAGTCCACATTATGAAGCTTTTCATTTCAGAGTCAACAAGGCCTCAAACTCAGTCAGGCAATGCAGAGGCTCCCAAGAGGCACACAAGGGAAAACGGCAAGATACCAAGGGCAGATTTTGACTTCTGGAAGAAAATAATCCTCACCCAGGGAGACCAGGTTCCTGTAGTTCTCCAACATCACGTCCCTGTATAAAGTCCTCTGTGTAGAATTCAGGCATTTCCACTCCTCTTGAGAGAATTCGATGGCCACATCCCTGAATGTCAACTGTCCCTAAAATAATAAACACATTTTACCAAGGGGTTATGAAGGGAGTTACTATCTTCACACAAAATAAGAATAAAAGAGAATTTTAAGTATAGATTTAATTGAAGTGTGTGTTCTGATAAACCCACACTAAGGTATTTTTGAGCATACATCTCTCCCTAATTGTGCTTTTTTTTCTCTCTCTCTCTTTTTCTTTTTTTTTTTTTTTTGTTTGAGACAAGGCCTCGCTCTGCTGCCCAGGCTGAAGTGCGGTGGCATGATCATGGCTCACTGCAGACTCAATCTCCCAGGTTCAAGTGACCCTCCGACCTTAGCTTTCCAAGTAGCTGGACTATAGGCATGTGTGTGCAAAGTAAAGTACATTTGAAAACTTCCATGATGAACTAGGGATCAAGCAGAAGAAAAAATTTCAGAACTTGAAGACAGGTCTTTTGAAATAAACGAGTCAGACAAAAATAAAGACAAAAATAAAAAAGAATGAACACAGCCTATGTGATATATGGGGCAGGCACCATAAGGTGACCAAATATTTGAATTTTTGGTGTCCCAGAAGGTAGAGAGAAAATGAAAAGGATAGAAACCTATCTAACGAAATAATAACCAAAAACTTCCTAAGTGTAGTAAAAGGTTTAGATACCTAGATACAGGAAGTTCATAGATTCTCAAAGAGATACAATCCAAAAATGTCTTCTCCTTGGCACATTATAGTCAAACTGTCAAAAGAAAAAGAAAGAGAATTCTAAAAAAAAAAAAAAAAAGCAAGAGAAAAGCATCTGGTCACTTACACAGGGTGCTCCATAAAACAGGAAATTTCTCAATAGAAACCTTACAGGCCAACAATGAATGGTATGATGTATTCAATGTGCTGAAAGAAAAACAAAAACAAAAACAAAAACCCTGCCAGCCAAGGATACTATACTCAGCAAAATTATCCTTCATAAAAAGGAGAAATAGTCTTTCCCAGAGAAGCAAAGTCTTAGGGAATGCTTCACCAGTAGACTGGCCCTACAAGAAATGCTTAAGGGATCCTTACATCTAGAAGCAAAAGGACAATATTGGCCATCATGAAAACACACAATACTATAAAACCCCTGTCAGAGCTAACATGCAAGTAAGGAAAGGAGTCAAATGTAAATGTTACCACTATAGAAAACCACCAAACCACAATGAAAAACAGTTAGACAAAGAAAGGAGCAAAGAACATACAAAACAACCAGAAATCAATGAACAAAGTGACAGTAACAAGCCCTTGCATGTCAATAATGAACTTAACGTAAATGGTTTAAACTTTCCACATAAAAGATATAGATTGGCTAAACTGATACAAGCATATAACCCAACTATGTGCTACCTTTAAGAAACTCATCTCAGCCAGGTGTGGTGGCTCACGCCTGTAATCCCAGCACTTTGGGAGGCCGAGGCGGGTGGATCACAAGGTCAGAAGTTCGACACCAGCCTGGCCAAGATGGTGAAAACCCGTCTCTACTAAAAACAAAAAATCAACCGGGCGTGGTGGCACGTGCCTGTAGTCCCAGGTACTCGAGAGGCTGAGGAAGGAGAATCCCTTGAACCTGGGAGGTGGAGGTTGCAGTTAGCTGAGATTGCGCCACTGCACTCTAGCCTGGGTGACACAGTGAGACTCCATCTCAAAAAAAAAAAAAAAGATTCCGTCTCAAAAAAAAAAAAAAAAAAGAAACTCAAAGAAACTCATCTCAACTGTAAAGACACAAATAGACTCAAAGTGAAAATATGAAAAAAGGTATTATATGCAAATGAAACCAAAAGCAAGCAGGAGTACCTCTACTTAACAAAATGAACTTTAAGTTAAAAACAGTAAAAGAGATGAAAAAGGTCATTATATACTAATAAAGAGATCAATAAGAGGAATATAACAATTGTAAACATATATGAACCCAACACTGGAGCATCCAGACATATAAGGCAAATATTATTAAAGGGAGAGATACACTCCAAAACTAATAATAGGGATTTTAGCATTAGACAGCTGATTTAGACAGAAAATTAACAAAGAAACACTGAATTTAAACTGCATTTTAGACTAGCCATACCTAAGAGATATTTACAGAACATTTCATCCAACAAGTACAGAATATACATTCTTTGCATCAGCACATAGAACATTCTCCAAGACAGACTATATATCAGAACACAAAACAAGTCTCAACACATTTTTAAAATATCAAAATCTTAATAAGTATCTTCTTAGAACAACAATGGAATAAAATTAGAAATCAATACCATGAGAAACTTTGAAAACTGTACAAATACATGGAAATTGGACGGCCTAAATGACCATTGGGTCTAGGAAGAAATTAAGGGGGAAATTAAAAAAAAAAATCTTGAAACAAGTAAAAATGAAAACACAGTATGTCAAAACCTATGGAATACAGCAAAAGCAATGCTAAGAGGGAAGTTTATAGTAATAAACACCTACTTGAAAAAAGTAGAAAAATTTCAAATAGGCCAGGCACGGTGGCTCTTTCCTGTAAACCCAGCACTTTGGGAGGCCAAGGTGGGTGGATCACCTGAGGTCAGGAGTTCAAGACCACCCTGGCCAACATGGTAAAACCCCGTCTCTACTAAAAACACAAAAATTAGGCTGGGTGCAGTGGCTCATGCCTGTAATCCCAGCACTTTAGGAGGTCAAGGCTGGCAGATCACAAGGTCAGAAGATCGAGATCATCCTGGCTAACATGGTGAAACCCCATCTCTACTAAAAAATAGAAAAAATTAGCTGGGTGTGGTGGCAGATGCCTCTAGTCCCAGACACTCGGAAGGTTGAGGCAGGAGAATGGCGTGAACCTGGGAGGTGGAGCTTGCAGTGAGCCGAGATCATGCCACTGCACTCCAGCCTGGGCTACAGAGCGAGACTCCGTTTCAAAAAAAAAAAAAAAAAGAAACACCTAGATGGCAAACCCACAGCTAAAATCACGCTGAATGGAAAAAAGCTGAATGCTTTTCCTCTAAGAACTGGAATAACTGAAAGATGCCCACTATTACCACTTCTATTTCACACAGTTCTGGAAGTTGTAGTCACAGCAATCAGGCAAGAAAAAGAGATAAAGGACATCGAATTGAAAAAGAACAAGTCAAACTATTCTATTTTGATGACATTAATCTAAAAAAACCTCAAGGGCCCACCAAAAAATACTTAGTTCTGATAAATTCAGTGAGGTTGTAAGTTACAAAATCAATATACAAATATCAGTAGTGTTTCTATACACCAAAAATAACTACCTGAGAAAGGAATCATGAGGGCAAAATCAAAGGAATCACAAAGGCAAAATCAATTTATAAGAGTTACAAAGAATTAAAATACCTAGGAATGGCAGGCTGGGCATGGTGGCTCACACCTATAATACCAGCACTTTGGGAGGCAGAGGCAGGTGCATCACCTGAGGTCAGGAGTTCGAGACCAGCCTGGCCAACACGGTGAAACCCTGTTTCCACTAAAAATACAAAAGATAAGCCCAGCGTTGGGGGCAGGCGCCTGTCCCCCAGCTACTTGGGAGGCTGAGGCATGAGAATCGCTTGAACCCAGGAGGCGGAGGTTGCAGTGAGCGAGACCAACCTGTGCAACAGAGCAAGACTCAGTCTCAAAATATATATATATTAATTCTTTCAATCTGTGAGCATGAAATGTCTTTCCATTTGTTTGTGTCCTCTTGAATTTTTTTCATCAGTATTTTGTAGGGTTTTTTTTTTTTTTTTTTTTTTTTTGAGACGCAGTCTCTCTCAGTCACCTAGGCTGGAGTGCAGTGGTGTGATCTCAGCTCACTGCAACCTCTACCTCCCGGGTTCAAGGGATTCTACTGCCTCAGCCTCCCAAGCAGCTGGGATTACAGGCATGTGCCACCACACCTGACTAATTTTATATTTTTTTTAGTAGAAATGGGGTTTCTTCATGTTGGTCAGGTTGGTCTTGAACTCCTGACCTCAGGGATCCACCTGCCTCGGCCTCCCAAAGTGCTGGGATTATAGGCGTGAGCCACCGCGCCCAGCTGTAGGGTTCCTTTTGTAGACATCTTTTACCTCCTTGGTTAAATCCATTCCTAGGTTTTTCTTCTTTTTATTTTTTTGAGACAGAGTCTTGCTCTGTCACCCAGGCTGGAGTGCAATGGTGTCATCTCGGCTCACTGCAACCTCCACCTCCTGGTTTCAAGCAATTCTCCTGCCTCAGCCTCCTGAGTAGCTGGGATTACAGCTGCCTGCCACCACCCCTGGATAAGTTTTTGTATTTTTAATAGAGACGGGGTTTCACCATGTTGGCCAGGCTGGTCTCGAACTCCTGACCTCGTGATCTGCCCGCCTTGACCTCCCAAAGTGAGAATTAATATTGTTAAAATGACCATAGTGCCCAAAGAATTTACAGATTCAATGCAATCTCTATTGAAATACCAATGTCATTTTATTAAAAACAGAAAAAAGAATCCTAAAATTTGTATGGTATCAAAAAAGAGCCCAAAGTATCAAAGCAATCCTGAGTAAAGCTGAAGGCATCACTCTACCTGACTTCAAAATATATTACAAGGCTATAGTAAACAAAAGAGCATGGTATTGGTATAAAAACAGCCACACAGACAAATGAAACAAAATTGTGAACCCAGAAATAAATACATGTACTTATAGCCAAATGATTTTTGACAAAGGTACCAAATACATACACTGGGGAAATGACATCCTCTTTAATAAATGGCGCTGGGAAAATTGGATATCCATGTGTAGAAGAATGAAATTGGATCCCTATATGGCACCATATACAAAAATCAACACAGATGGATTAACAACTTAAAAATAAGACCCCCAAAATATAAAACTACTATAAGAAAACAGGACAAACACTTCAGGACACTGGTCTAGACAAAAGTTTTATGGCTAAGACCTCAAAAGCATCAATGGCAAAAACAAAGATAGATAAATGGCACTATATTAAATTTAAAAGCTTTGCATAGAGTGAAGAGGCAACCTGTTGAATAGGAGGAAATATTTGTAAACTATTCATCTGACAAAGGACTAATATTCAAATCGTACAAGGAACTCAAACAGTTCAACAGTAACAAAGAAATAATCCCATTAAAACTTGGGCAAAGGACAGAATAGACCTTTCTCCAAAGAGGACATACAAATGGCCAACAGATATATATAAAAAATGCTCAACAGCAGTAATCATCAAGAAATGAGAAAAGCACAGTACCATCTTATCCCAGTTAGACTGGCTATTACTAAAAAAGAAAAAAAAAATAACAGATGCCGGTGAGGAATGTGGAGAATGGGTAACTCTTATACACTGCTGGTGGGAATGTAAATTAGTATAGCCATCACAGGCCAGGCGTGGTGGCTCACATCTGTAATCCCAGCACTTTGGGAGGTCAAGGCAGGCAGATACCTGAAGCGAGGAGTTCGAGACCAGCCTACTCAATATGACAAAACTCACCACCCCCTGTCTCTACTAAAAATACAAAAATTAGCTGGGTGTGGTGGCGGGCACCTGTAATCCCAGCTACTCAGGAGGCTGAGGCAGGGAGAACTGCTTGAACCTGTGAGGCGGACAATGCAGTGAGCTGTGATCGTGCCACTGCACTCCAGCCTGGGCGACAGAGTGAGGCTCTGTCTCAAGAAAATTAAAATACATAAATAAATAAATTAGTATAGCCGTTATGAACAGTATGAAGACTTCTCAAAAACTAAAACTAGAACTACCACATAATCCAGCAATCCCATTACTGGGCATTTATCAAGGAAGAAGAAATCCGTATATCAAAGGGATACCTGTACTCCCATGTTTACTGCAGCACTATTCACAATAGCAAAGATATGACATCAACTTAACTATCTATCAACAGGTGAATGGATAACGAAATGTGGTATATTCAGCCATAAAAAAGAATGTAGCAACATGAATGGAACTGCTGGTCATTAAGTGACATACGTCAGGAACAGAAAGGCAAATCTCGCATGTTGACATTCACTTGTGGGAGCTAAAAGAAGTTGATTGCATGGAGGTAGAAAGTAGAATGGTAGTTATCAGAGACTGTGAAGGGTGTGTGGGTGGGTGCGGGCAGGGAGGACAAAGAGAAGTTGGTTAATGAGTACAACTATAGTTAGAAGGAATAAGTTCTAGTGTTCGACAGCATTGTAAGGTGACTACAGTTATCAACAATGTATCGTATATTTTCAAAACAGCTAGAAGAGAGGACTTGAAATATTCTCAACACTTAAAAATGATAAATAATCAAGGTAATAGACACCTCAAACACCATTACTTGATCATTACACATTCTATGACACACGCAACAAAATATCACATCTGCCCCTTAAATATGAACCAATATGATGTATCGACTTGAAAAAGGAGCAAGCTATCCTTGTTCCTTAATATGAAAACATGTAAATATTCACAACTTGCAGGATAAAATACCCCAACAAAACATTTACTGAAAATTTTCTTCTAAAATCTCACAATGATTAAACACATTTCAACAGGGCTTGAGCTGTCTCTTCTCACAGAACTGACAATAGTGGCTCACCATTGAGACGTGTGCGAGGGTGAACAGTGGCTCACCATTGAGACGTGTGCGAGGGTGAACAGTGGCTCACCATTGAGACGTGTGCGAGGGTGAACAGTGGCTCACCATTGGGGCGTGTGCGAGGGTGAACAGTGGCTCACCATTGAGGCGTGTGCGAGGTGAACAGTGGCTCACCACATTGAGGCGATGTGCGAGGGTGAACAGTGGCTCACCATTGAGACATGCGGAGTGAACAGTGGCTCACCATTGAGGCGTGTGCGAGGGTGAACAGTGGCTCACCACATTGAGGCGTGTGCGAGGAGTGAACAGTGCGAGGGTGAACAGTGGCTCACCATTGAGACGTGTGCGAGGGTGAATAGTGGCTCACCATTGAGACGTGTGCGAGGGTGTAAGGCTTGACAGGAAAAGGGATGCTCTGTATCTAAGCACCTAAATGTATCTCTACTGAGAATTTCACCATAAAACAAATATATATATCGTGTGATGTTTAAAACAAAAGCAGCATAATACTTAATAATAATAGATATCATAAAAATATGGCTATATCCTCTTCAGTGAAAAAGGAGTTCTGCTCTGATATCTGAGCAAAACTGTTACCATTTTTGCCTAAAATATCTGATGCCTAAGAGACCCTGCAGGAATAGCACCATCTCCGTGGTATGCAAATGCTGAGAATGGTTTAAAAACTTGGCCCGGCGTGGTGGCTCACGCCTCTAATCCCAGCACTTTGGGAGGCTGAGGTGGATGGATCATGAGGTCAGGAGTTGGAGACCAGCCTGACCTACATGGTGAAACCCCGTCTCTACTAAAAATACAAAAATTAGCTGGGCGTGGTAGCGTGCACCTGTAATCCCAGCTAGCCAGGAGGCTGAGGCAGGAGAATCGCTTGAACTCGGGAAGCGGAGGTTGCAGTAAGCTGAGATCGCGCCACTGCACTCCAGTCTGGGTGACAGCAAGACTCAAAAAAAAAAAAAAAGTCCTACTCCTACAGCTGGCTGGGCACAGTGGCTCACGCCTATAATCCCAGCACTTTGGGAGGCTGAGGCAGGCGGACCATACGGACAGGAGTTCAAGACCAGTCTGGTGGCCAACATAGTGAAACTCCATCTCAACAAAAATTAGCCAGGCACAGTGGTGGGCGCCTGTAGTCTCAGCTACTTGGGAGGCTGAGGCAGAGGAATCACTTGAACCCGGGAGGTGGAGATTGCAATGAGCCGAGATCATGCCACTGCACTCCAGCCTGGGCGACAGAGTGAGACTCTGTCTCAAAAACAAACAAAAAAAAGTCCGACAGTTACACTTTTTGTTGTTGTTGTTAGACAGAGTCTCGCCCTGTCACCCAGGCTGGAGTGCAGTGCAGTGGTGCGATCTCCACTCACTGTAACCTCTGCCTCCCAGGTTCAAGTAATTCTCCTATCTCAGCCTCCTGAGTAGTGGGGATTACAGGCGTGTGCCACCACGCCTGGCTAATTTTTGTATTTTTAGTAAAGACGGGGTTTCACCATGTTTGCTGGTCTCAAACTCCTGACCTACAGTGATCCGCTCACCTCAGCCTCCAAAGTGCTGGGATTACAGGCCTGAGCCACTGTGTTCGGCCTTACAGTTACACTTCTACATTGACTTTATGTTTCAAAGTCATTAAAGGAAAAAACGCCCTCTGGTACTGATGTCTGCATCTCAACTTTACATTCCATTCCAAGTCATTAACTGGAGTCAGAGACATACTGATACACTAGTTTTATCTGGATTACAAAATCAGGCACAAAATATATCCCCTTATTGGCTGCCTTTTCCAGTATTTACCAGGTATTTGTCTACATTAATATGTGACTTTAGGCCAGGCATGGTGGCTCAAGCCTATAATCCCAGCACTTTGGGAGGCCAAGGCAGGTGGATCACCTGAGGTCGGGAGTTCGAGACCAGCCTGACCAACATAGAGAAACCCCATCTCTATTAAAAATACAAAATTAGCCGGGCATGGTGGCGCGTGCCTGTAATCCCAGGTACTTAGGAGGCTGAGGCAGGAGAATCGCTTGAACTCGGGAGGCAGAGGTTCTGGTGAGCCGAGATTGCACCATTGCACTCCAGCCTGGGCAACAAGAGCGAAACTCTGTCTCAAAAACAAACAAACAACAACAACAAAAAGAAACATGACTTCCACGGGCAGCTTCTCTGTTTCTCTATTCCTGGGCCACGGAGAGCTGACAGAGCATCCAGATGTGGCCCCTGAACAATCCCTGCTGCCCAACAGCACTGACACCACGGGACCCTCACCCCGTCTCCATCCATGTCTGGGTGTGAGCCCTTCCCAGGACCATGCCCGGTGGAGGTTCTTCCCAAGTTCATGTCACTGGGTCAGAGTGAGACAGAATCTCAGTAGAGATGAGAGGGACTGAGGAAAGGCATGGGCGAATGTGAGCAAACGCGTCAGGCAGGACACTTCAGAGTCGGAGAAGATTTGCAGCTCCAAGGTCTCCTGCCTTTCTGAAAGGAAGAAGACAGAATGATCCACACAGAAACTTTCTTTACCTGAGTAAAAGCCATTCCGGACTCCTTTGCTCTCTTCTTCCGGGTTTCTTCCTCATGTGCCAAGAGTCTTTAGAGGTCAATGCTGAACAACAACAACAACAAAAAGTGCTCTTTATTGCTCAAAAACAACACACTCCCTCTTGTGTGACAGGCACACACATACACAGGGAGGAGCTCGCCCTGTGCAAAGATGGTCCTCTGCTGCCCACTGCACCAGGGTGGCCCCAGGGACAAGAAACTCCTACAGGAAAACCCATACATGAGTCTTCTGACCCCTTTCTTCAGAACCCTCTCCCCTCCTGGAGAAGCTCACACACATGCTGCAGCAGTGGGGAGCAGACCCAGGCCTGACCAACCGCCATGCAGAGCCCAGCCCCCTTTCCCTCTCTGTGGCTCCCAGGCTGAGCTCAGCCCTCAGAAATAGAGGACGCAGAGCCTTGGTGCTCAGGGCTGGATATAGATGAGAATCATGCTGGGCACTGTATCATCAAGGGCGGGTCCCAACCTATGTGAATGGGAATCTCTGGGACACGGGTGTGGGCACAAGAAGTATATCTGCAAAGTACCTCAGCATTTCCACATGAAGCCAGGGGTGAGCTCTACTCAAATAGGGTCAGCCCAGCATAGCCCCCACCTTCTGACTCTTCTCCCTTTGGGACCTTGGGTTCATCAGGATCCAGACAGTGGAAGCAGAAAGAATTGAGAGAAGCATGCAGAGCAGGTGATATGGACCAGAGGAAGGAGTGAGGGTGCGGCTGGAGTGTTAAATGGGAGGTGGGTCACAGAAGTCCCCACTGAGAGGGTGATATCAGAACAGAAACCTGGGGAAGGAGGGGTGTTTGCACCTGCAGCTGAGGGGCCAGCGAGTTCCAGCAGAGGGACAGCCCACGTGAAGGCCTTGAGGCAGGAGCAACCTCAGCCCAGGAACAGGAAATATGCCTGTGTGGCTGAAGCAGAGGAAGCGAGGAGGATACAGGTAGGAGATGAGGTCAGAGAGGTCCTGGGCGGGCAGATAAGACAGGGCAGATGCCTTCAAACGTTTTTCTCCCATATCTCAAAAGAATTTTGGAAATGATGTTATTTCCTCACCCATTTTAATTAAACATATAATATTTTCTTTATAAATTAACACAGTTACAAAGTAATATCTTATATATTTGAAGTCCCAGGAAATACATGGTCGCCCTCATCTGAGATGTGCAGGACTGCAGGGGAAGGCATCTAGGGAGTCAGGAAGTCACTTTTGGACACCTGAAAGTGGAGATACCTGTTAGATGTCCTAGCAGAAAGTTAAGGAGAAGGCCAGGTGCGGTGGCTCACGCCTGTAATCCCAGCACTTTGGGAGGCCGAGGCAGGTGGATCACCTGAGGTCAGGAGTTCGAGACCAGCCTGACCAACATGGTGAAACCCCATCTCTACTAAAAACACAAAAAGAAATTAGCCGGGCATTGGTGGCGGGCACTGGTAATCCCAGCTACTCGGGAGGCTGAGGCAGGAGAATAGTTTGAACCCGGGAGGCAGAGGTTGCGGTGAGCCGAGATTGCACCACTGCACTACAGCCTAGGCAACAAGAGTGAAACTCCATGTCAAAAAAAAAAAAAAAAAAAAAAGAGGTTTATTTGGCTCATGGTTCTGCAGACTGTACAAGCAGCACAGTGCCAGCATCTGCCTCTGATGAGGGCCTCAGGAAGCTTCCGTTCAGCATGGAAGGTGAAGGGGCGCCAGCAGGGCAGACGAAATGGTGAGAGAGGAGGCAAGAGACAGAGAGAGGTCAGGCTTTTTGACAACCAGCTCTCAGGGGAACTAAGAGTCAGAACTCACTCCCTAGAGAATGACATCAAGTCATTCGCAAGCGATCTGCTCCCATGACACTTACCAGACCCTACCCCCAAGTTTGGAAATCACATTTCAACATGAGAGTTGGTGGGGCAAAACAAATCATATCCAAACAATTGCACATTCTGAGGCTATGAGTGGGGCTGGCGTCTGGTACACAACTGGAGGGTTAGCAGCAGCCAGGAGCACGAACAGACCATTCCCAATCACTACCGAGTAGGGATCCCAAGCCCTGAGACAGGTGGGTGGGTAAGTTGGAAAAGATCTCTTCCTTTGCTTCCAGGGACTCAATAGTAAAAAAAAAAAAAAAAACAAGGCCTTTAAATGAGCAAAAAGAAGAAATAAAAGTTCCAGAGACAAGGTGCAGAATAGAAAAATAGGAGAATGGAAGAGGTGCGGGGCAGGAATTAAATGACTCCAGGAAATCTGGGTGTATGTTTTCTCCAGGCTGTGATCAGCTACACAGGGACAGAAGCAAACTAACAGAGTTGGATGTAGGGATATCTGGGAGAAACACATGATGTCGTACACTTGACTTGCAAATCATGTAGTATCTGAAAGGGTCTGTTTGTATCCAATTTTTTTTTTTTTTTTTTTTTTGAGACGAGTCTCGCTCTGTCACCAGGCTGGAGTGCAGTGGCGTGACTTCAGCTCACTGCAACCTCCGCCTCCCGGGTTCAAGTGATTCTCCTGCCTCAGCCTCTTGAGTAGCTGGGAATACAGGCACGTGCCACCATGCCCAACTATTTTTTGTATTTTTAGTAGAGACGGGGTTTCACCGTGTTGGCCAGGATGGTCTTAATCTCCTGACCTCATGATCCACCCGCCTCAGCCTCCCAAAGTGTTGGGATTACAGGCGTGAGCCACCACTCCTGGTCTTTTTTGTTTTTAAACAGGATCTTGCTCTGTTGGCCAGGCTAGAGTGCAGTGATGCAACCCTGGCTTAGTGCAGCCTTGACCTCCTGGGCTAAAGCAATCCTCCCACCTGAGCCTCTGGAGTAGCTGGGACGACAACAGGTACAAGCCACCACATCTGGCTAATTTTTAAATTTTTTATAGAGACAAGGTCTCACTATGTTACCTAGGCTGGTCTCAAACAGGGCTCAAGTGATTGTTCTGTCTCAGCCTCTGAAAGTGCTGGGATTATAGGCGTGAGCAACCATGCCTGCCATATCTCTATCATTTTAAAAATAAAACCGGGGCTGGGCGCAGTGGCTCACGCCTGTAATCCCAGCACTTTGGGAGGCCGAGGCGGGCGGATTATGAGGTCAGGAGTTTGAGGCCAGCCTGACCAACATGGTGAGACACCATCTCTACTAAAAATACAAATTAGCTGGGCGTGGTGGCGCACGCCTGTAGTCCCAGCTACTCGGGAGACTGGGGCAGGAGAATCACTTGAACCCGGGAGGCGGAGGTTGCGGTGAGGTAAGATCACGCCACTGCATTCCAGCCTGGGTGACAGAGCAAGCCTCCGTCTCAAAAAGTGCTGGGATTATAGGCATGAACCACCGTGCCTGGCCTCAACACTGTTAATGTTCCTTTAGAGCAAGGTTGTCCAATCCGCAGCCTAGGAAGGCTTTGAATGCAGCTCAACACAAATTCCTAAACTTTCTTAAAACATTTTGAGATTTTTTGCATATTTTTAATTAATTTATTTATTAATTTATTTTTAGCTCATCAGCTATTGTCAGTGTTAGTGTACTTTATGTGTGGCCCAAGATAATTCTTCTTCCAATGTGGCCCAGGGAAGCCAAAAGATTGGACACCCCTGCTTTGAAGAGACACTATGTAGTGACAGAGTCACTTTCTGCCCAGCTTTACTCTCCCACTCCCCCTTCCCCTCCCCCTGCCCCAATGCCAGGGAAGGGGAAGAGGATGACCTGTGGGATTAATGAGTCAAGTCACTTCCCTCTGCCTTAACAGGGATTGCAAGTGGAAGCTAACTTCTGATGCCATAATTATAAAATGCACCAGCCTTAATCGACAGGAGTTTTGCAATTCTCATCTTCATCTGTGTATTTTAAACTTATAAAGACAGAAATCAACAGGTCAAAATGTAGATAACACATCCAGTCAATCCACAACTCACCTGGACCCAGGGTCCTCCTCTTTCCTCATTACGGTGTGTTTCCCTCCCTCATTCCGTACATAGCTCTCATTCTCACCTTCTTTCTCTAGCTCTTTCCTTCCCCTTTATTTTCTCCCTAGGATTCTGCTCATTTTGAGCCTCTCTCCTCTCCTGCTGTTTCTCCCCTTCTTCCATTTCTTCTCTTCCACCTGTTCTTTCCAGTCTTGCAATTTGTTTCACTTCATATTCCTCTTTCTTCCTAATCTTTTCATCGTCCCAATCTCCACATATTTCTGGCTCTTTGTTCCCCATTTCAGCGCCCCGTGTTAAATTCCCTTTTCCCTGTTACACACCCTTGTCCCCACTCTTTGGCAACCCCAGATCCCAGGCCTCCCCGTGCTGTGGTTCTCCCTCTGCTCTCCTTGTCTTCGGCTGTCCCTTCTTTTTGTCCCAGCACCACACTGCTCTGTCTGCCCTGGCTCCAAATCACTCCTCCTCTCCCCCACTCTCTATCTGAGGAGCCTCCCCCTTTGCTGCCCCCCGCCCTACCTTGCTGTCCTTCATCTCTCTGAATACTGTGCGTTTTCTCGAAATGTGCCTAGTTACTTTTCTCTCCTTGCTACTTTCTTGGCTTCTTTCACTCTTACTGTCTCTTTGAAAATCTCTAACCATCCTCTACTTTGCCATCTGTTTATTGGTTTCCCTCATTCCTTCCTCTGTCTCAGGTTTTCTACTGCTCTCTCTGTCCCTCTCTGTCTCCCGATCCCTTTGGCCCACACATTCACAAGAGGGTTTGGGGTAAGATGCCTGGATCCTGGAGGAGAGCATTTTCCAGGGAGTGGAGAGGGGCAGGCAAGAACACCGGGTGTCACAGGACAGGCCCTGAGCACCTCCCCAACGCGGGCTCAGGGGAGGCCTGGGGAGCAGCAGGGCCTGGCACGAGGAGAAGGGAGGTGGGGGGCGACGGCACCTTCGGACAGGGGTGGGGTCTGCAGGATCCCAGGACCACGCAGAGCACGCGGGCTCTGGGGCGCTGCGCTCCAGGGGCCGACGAGGGCAAGGCTGGGATGCGCCCAGGACGGGAATCCACCTCTTGGGTGAGGACTTTAAAAAGCCCGGGGCTGGAGGAGGGGTCAGAAAAAGGTTTTAAGCGGGAGGAAGCAGCAAAGGGCCGGGGACAGGGAGCAGCCTCAGAGCGACTTCAACCCAAAGGGAAGCGATTCCGGACCCACACCGTGAGGCCTGTATACACCTGGGATGGAGGGCGCGGTGCGGGGATTTTAACGCCCGCAGCGACCCCGGGCATCGGCTGTGGAAATGGGAAACAGGGAGCGCAGGTTTAATCTACACAGAGGGCCACTCACGCTCAGCGCCGTCACCTTCACCCAACACGATCCGTTTCCGGGGCTGTAGGAAACTGCGCGTGCGCGGAGAGAAGAGCTCGGGCAGCCTAGAGGCGTGGCGTGGTTGGGGTGGGCGGGGCCTGCGCCGTTTTAAGGTTAAGAAGCAGAGTCGTGTGGGCCACTTATGTTGGAAACCAAAATATTTTCCACTTACCAAGTTGAAAACGGTTTATGGTAAAAGTATTTTGCCTGCAGGTTGGACCTGATCCTGCTAGGGAGTCTCTTGCAGCTTAGCAGTCCGGGAACTGGGATTTCGGTGGGGGATCCACAACTAGCAGTGGCTGGATCCATAAACGTTATAGAAAAACAAAAATAAAGTGTCTGGAATAACTCCACTGGATTTCAAGACTACCAATATAGGAAAGATAATAAAAATTGTCTGGTATTGGGGCAATAAAAGACACGGATTGATGCAATACAACAAGTGAGTGCAAAAATAGCCTCTACAGGTACTTCCAACTGATTTTTGACAAAGTTACTGAGGGAATTGAATGAAGGAAGAATTTTTAAAAACTGGTGAGGAGCTAACTGAATATCCATAGCAGAAAAGAAGTCATCTTTACTCAAACTTCACAAGGGTACAGACATTAGCTCAACATTGACCATAGCCTAAATGTAAAATATCAAACCGTAAAATGGTATCCTGTAAGAGACTGAAAGAAAAAATTACTCACAGAATAAAATCGTAAGAATCAAGAGCTTGTTAAAAAATTCTTAGCCATGGCAGCAAAAGCATGATTCACTAAAGAAAAAAAAAATCAACTGGTATTTACCAAATTAAATACTTTTGGTCTGCGAAAGACCTTAACACAAGGAGAGAAAAGGTATTTGATATGGTTTGGATCGATGTCCCTGTCAAATCTCATCTTCAAGTATAATCCTCAGTTGTTGAGGGAGGGTCCTAGTGGGAAGTGACTGGATCATGGAGGTGGTTTTCCCATGCCGTTCTCATGATAGTGAGTACTCAGATCTTATGGTTTAAAAATCTGTGATAGTTCCTCCTTTGATCGCTCACTCTCCTGTTGCATGCAGGGCCTGCCTTGCTTCCCCTTTGCCTTCCTCCATGATTGTAAGTTTCCTGAGGCCTCCCAGCCAAGTGGAACTGTGAGTCAATTAAACCTCTTTTGTTTATAAATCACCCAGTCTCAGACTGTATCTTTATGGCAGTGTGAAAATGGACTAATACAGTACTGAATAATAGAAAATATTTACCTACCATATATCTGACATAAAACTGGTATGTGGAATGTATAAAGAATTCTAGAATGACTTTAAAAAAAAGCAAAATAATCAAATTAGAAAATGGATAGAACTATGAAGAGACATTTTACTGAAGCAGATATACTGAGATAAATGGGCACATAAAAAGATTTCCAACATCACCATCCATCAAATCTCAGACCTCTGCATTTTCTGCTTTCTCCATGTGAACCCCTGGATGCTGTCAGAGATAATGGGAAACACAGGAGCTTCTACTGAACAGTCCAGTTGATGTGTATTAGCAACCTGTAATTGTTTTTGGAAACTAACAATGGAAACACAGATACAAAAATATTAGCTCAACAAACATGCACTGTCTTTGTCACTATTGGTGATTTTTTTTTTTTTTTTTTTTGAGACAGAGTCTTGTTCTGTCACCCAGGCTGCAGTGCAGTGGCATGATCTTGGTTCACTGCAACCTCTACCTCCTGGGCTTAAGCGATTCTCCAGCCTCAGCCTCCTACGTAGCTGTGACCACAGGTGTGTGCCACCACACCCAACTATTTTTTGTATTGTTAGTAGAGATAGGGTTTTGCCATGTTGGCCAGGCTGGTCTGCAATTCCTGACCTCAGGTGATCTGCCCGCCTTGGCCTCCCAAAGTGCTGGGATTACAGGGGTGAGCCACCACGCCTGGCCACTATTAGTGAATTCTTAAACTCACACCTCAGGTACTGGATGCCTCCTTCGAAAGATTTGATAATCTTTCTTACAGGATTATGTGGTAATGAGTGTCTCTGTCATTCATTTAGGTAAGATGCATAGGCAATAGTGATCTATAAAAATGTAGACTTAATTGATCTATAAAAATATAGATTTAATACAAAGTTACCACAATCACAATGACACATGAAGATAAACCATTTAAAAATTACAAGAGATACTAACAAAATAGGCATAGCTGGTGAGTAAAGGACAAAAATAACTAGCATTGTTACTGTAGCATCATCATTAAAAGCTTTGTCTTTGCAGCCAGACAACATGGATTCAAATCTCGATTCTGCCTCTTACTGAAATGTGATTAGATGAGCCTTTTAAAGCAGAATATGCTGAGGTCTGAGATTTGATTGATGGTGACGTTGGAAATCTTTTTATGTGCCTATTTATCTCAGTATATCTGCTTCAGTGAAATGTCACTTCACAGTTTTATCCATTTTCTAATTATATATAACATATATGTATATATTATATAATGTATATATTATGTGTATATTACATATATACGTATATAGTATATGCATATACAGTATAGTATGTATATAATATATACGTATATAATATACGTATATTATATATGTATTTTAGAGAGAGAGAGAGAGAGGGAGATGCAGTCCTGCTCTGTCGCCAAGGCTGGAGTGCAATGATGGGATTTCGGCTCAATGCAACAGCCACCTCCCAGGCTCAAGCGATTCTCCTGCCTCAGCCTCCCAAATAGCTGGGATTACAGGTGCCCGCCACCACGCCCAGCTAATTTTTCTATTTTTAGTAGAGACGGGGTTTCACCATGTTAATCAGGCTGGTCTTGAACTCCTGACCTCAGGTGATCCCCCCCACCTCGGCCTCCCAAAGTGCTGGGATTATAGGCATGAGCCACTGTGCCTGGCCTAATTTGATTATTTTGCCTATCTGTCCTAGGTTTCCTCACCTCTGAAATGAGAATATCATCAATACTTATTTCAGGGAGCTGATGATTCAGTTGTTACATATAAAGCATTAATAACAGTGATTCTTACTCTAACTGTGATTGACATAAAAGAAAATATATACGCAAAGATAAATCACTTATTAAAGTGTGTGTATATATATATATGTTTTTTTAAATGGAAAGAAATCTAAAGGGAGTATATTAAATGGCAGCTATCATGGCAAAAGTTGCACAAATATCATGTTTTGCTGTAAGAGCTTCTGGCTCAGAACAGAAATACCAGCCACAGTGGGAAGTTGAATTGCCTCCAGAGACTCACTGAGAGGAATTATCTCCTTTGCATAAATGATAGTATCTTGGGGACTCTCTTATTAACTGTATTTTCATTTACTTCTCCAGATGCTGGTTAACATCCACATGCTTGATTTTCAAGCAGCTGATCTTTGATAACTTCCATATTAAGAGATTTCATTTCACCATCTAGTATCCCTGTACTTTAATTGAACTGAAGATTTACAAGGACACTCCATTTTCCTATTTACAGAGAACCTAGTCTGTACCTGCCATTGTCTTACATACATTTTCATGTCACAAGATTTTATTTCCAAACAACACCCTAATTTTTGTATTTTCTAAGTTTTCACTGGAGTAACACAGAGAAGAAATGCAGTAAACATATAATTTAGATTATAATGTATGGAAGGAAAAAATCCTTAAAGTAAAAATCATATACAAAAAGTCATTTTACTACTATTGCCTCACGGCTGTAATCCTAGCCCTTTGGGAGGCTGAGGCAGGAGGAATGCTTAAGGCCAAGAGTTCACGACCAACCTGGCCAACATAGCGAGACCTCACGTCTAAAAAGAAAAAGGAAAAAAAAATGCTATGGAATATATTACACAATACCATAAACTGAACATGAGATTAACATAACACAGCCTTTGGAAAAATACCCTTTGGCTAAAGTTGCTTGATCATATTATGTAATAAACTTTTCCACAAATTCATTTGCATTGAACTACTGTAAAAATATTTTAGGCAATTTAAACAGCATTTCACAAACATTTTCAAGAATGACGTTGTGTAATGGGATCTATGGGTTCAGCAGAAAAGGAAGAGTAGTCATCCACTATTATGAAGCAAGCAGAGGTCTTTCCTAACAAAGAAGTTAGAAATTTTTTTTTTCTTTTGTTTTGAGACGGAGTCTCACTCTATTGCCCAGGCTGGAGTGCAGTGGTGAGATCTCAGCTCACTGCAACCTCCATCTCCCAGGTTCAAGTGATTCTCCCGCCTCAGCCTCCCTAGTAGCTAGAACTACAGGTATGCACTGCCACACCTGGCTAATTTTTGTATTTTTAGTAGAGATGGCGTTTCACCATGTTGGCCAGGCTGGTCTTGAGCTCCTGACCTAAGGTGATCCACCTGCCTCAGGCTCCCAAAGTGCTGTGATTACAGACATGAGCCACCATGCCTGGCCAGAAATCAGAAGTTTCAAGAGTAAATATTCAGTGTTGTACTAGAGTCAGTTTCCATTTTGTGATCTTTGTAACAGCTTTTATACCTCTGCACTCCACCTTCTTATTCTGCCCATCTGACCAAGCTGGTAATGCCCGTGTTCCCTCCTTTGGCACTAAATGGAAGTTCAAAGCACGTGTGGGACCGCCACCCCAACCTCACCCTTTTATTAAAGGTTATTACCATAATACCCCAAGCAAGTTATTTATCCTTGCTCTCTCAAGCCATTTTGGACCAGTTTGGGAAGTCAATCCTGCTTCTCACAGAAAGCCTCATTATGCAATGCACATTTTCCTGAAACTTCATTGTTTGGCATCATCGTTTTCCATATCTAAACCAAACTGTAGGTGGAGTTCAATACACTTCTTGTGGAGAGGTGACAAATTAACATTGCCAAAAACGTGATAAGGTTAAATTTATGAAAATTCTAGTTTACCTACCAAAACAAAATGAAATTTCCATTTATATGTTCATTTTTAAGAGGAAACTGATGAATATTAGTCTTGTCAAATTATGTCACTGAGCATAACATTCTTC